ACAGCGTTTGTTGTACCAGACCAAGATGTCATGACACATGCTTCGACATCTGGTTGAAAAACTCATAACAGCAAAAATGTTATCACATTTGATAAAAATGTTGCTACATCTTGATCAACATCAGTATAGAACCATGTTTAGAAAAATTATGTCAATCCTAAAACCATGGAACTAACAGTATACAAGGTGAAGTTGAATCCCAAAGGAGAATTACCTTGACACGAGGCAAGACTAGTAGCGAAAGAATTTCTTTAAAAAGAAGAAATCAACTTCAATGAAGTGTTTGCACTTGTTGCTAGAACTGAAACAATTAGGTTGGTTACTGGTCTAGTAGAAGCAAATAGTTGGCACATATATCAAATGGACATGAAATATGCATTCCTAAATGGATCCTTAGATGAAATAAAATTATGTTTCACAACCAGCTGGATTTGCAAAACAAGGCGAAGAGATAAAGGTATACAGATTGCATAAATCCCTATATGGACTTAAACAAGCATCAAGAGCTTAAAATAAGAAGATTGATAGTTTCCTAAGGGAGAGGGAATTTGTAAGGTGCACAACTAACCATGCATTATATGTAAGAAGAACCAAGAGTGAATTGCTTATACTATATCTCTATGTTGATGACTTGTTAATAACAGGTATCTACAAGAAATAAATCAAAGACTTCAAAGGTTACCTTAGCAAGGAATTTGAAATGTCTAATCTCTGTGACATTTCATATTTCCTTGGAATCAAATTCTACAAGAGTAGTAGAGGATTGATGATGCATCAAAGAAGATATGCAAGTAAAATTGCCAAGAGATTTGAGATGGAAGAATTCAACTCGACTTCGACACATGTTGAACCAAGACTGCAATTGTCGAAAAATTATGATGAATATAATGTTGACCCAACCCAATACATAAGACTTATTGGGTCATTAAGAAATATTTGTCACACAAAACCTGACTTAGCATACAGTGTGAGTATGGTAAATAGATTCATGCAGAAGATAAATGTATCACATCTTGCAGCGACGAAGAGAATACTAAGGTATCTCAAAGGAAATCTCGACTATGTAATTTTATTTTATGCAGTTGATAAAGGAAAAGAATGCAAGTTAGTGGATTACACCTACTCAAGTTGGTGTAGTAATGTTGAGGATAGAACATCCACAGTTGGCTACCTGATGATGCTAGGTTGTGCACCAGTTTCTTGGAGTTCGAGAAAAGAACTAGTAATGGCGCTATCATAGTGTGAAGTAGAGTACATAGATACTTCTCTTTGTGCATGTCAAGCAACATGGATGGTGAATCTGGTCAAAGAGATTACAATATAAGATCATGGAGCAATTACCATGAAGATTGACAACATGTCAGCTATCAATCTGACGAAGAATCCGATAACACATGGTCAAAGCAAGTACATCGAGATGAGGTTCAATCATCTTCAAGAACAGGTAGCTAAAGAGAAGTTGAACTTGGAACATTGTAGAAATGAGAATTAGATTTAACACATCATGACAAAAAGAGTGCAGGTCGAAGTTGAAATTCTGGCACTTGCAACACATGTTAATACGGATGACCCAACATCAGAACACGATGTCAGGAAAGATGTTGAGACATCTTTTCTTGATACAAAATATAATCAAACTATAAAATAAATTACAGAATGATAAATAACACAGTTGATTGTTAACCTAGTTCGGTACAGTGTCACCTACTATGGGGGCTACCAAGCCAAGAAGGAAATTCACTATAATAGTACTAGTTCAAAGCCTAAATAGTCCCAGTTGATAACTTCTCCCCTAATCACTACCTTGTGAAACTTCTACCCAGAAATAACCATCTAGATATGAGATTCCTCTCTCACTTCCAATCACCACAGTGATACCTGCAACCCCAAACCTTGTGACTAGATTAGAAATCCAAAAGAAGATTACACTTTAAATAAACAATACTCAACTCTTTGCTTAAAAGATCATGAGTGATAATAATACTTAGTTTTTCTTAAAATATTCAATTAAGTAACAATAGCTTGATTAACAATCAAGTAACAATAACTTGATAAACTATCAAGTAATAAATTGTCTACCATACTATATCAAAAGATATATGGGTGATTTACACAAAACACAAGAGACTCTCAAAATCTAAGACTTATACTTCCCCTAATTTTACAATTGTGAAAAGTTAAATTACATTATATTAGGTTTTCTCTTTAAATACTCCTCAGTAGTCCATGGGCTTTGAAATCTTCACCCAATTTTTTCTTGATCCATAAGTTGAGGGCTGCACCAATTGTGCAGAAAAATTCTCTTTAAATATTGGAACAAATCTTCAAGGTTTCTAAATTGTCCCAACATCCAATTTTAGAAACTTTAATGTTGTTGGATATTTGATTTACTTGTTCCAGATTAAATCCTCTTGACCTGTGAAATTTATGAGATATATCCAAAAGAAACATCCCAAAATCAAATCAAATTTGTCAAGATTTAAAATAGCATGTATTGTTGTTCTGGTACATCATGTCACAACATCTGGCAGAACATTTATCTTCAGTGTAACCTTCACGCTCTATTGTAGCATTCAGATCAAGATGTTATGACATCTTGTTCAACATCTGTTATGAACCATGTTTTAGAAAAATTGTTGCCAATCCTAAAACCATGGATATAACAATCTCCCCCTTTGTCACATTTTGGCTAAAGCAACCTTTTGCACAGTAAAATTGGAGAGAGGAATAAAACCACAAACAAAACACAAGCTACATGTAAACATGTAAACTTTGTAAATGGGGAAGAAGATAACATGTCGTTTCAGGTCTTTCCAATAATATTCCCTCTATCACAAGGAACCAATTTTTGTCACAGAAAACTAATTCTCCCCCTCAAAGAGAAAATCCAAATAACCAACAGAAGAAGAAACTTTTCCCAGAGGAAAAAGAATATTTTCTCAAAGATTGTACATTCGAAGAACATGCAGCAGAAGCAGCACACATAACTCATAACACAAGAAACAAAAACAAACATAACTCAGGATACAAGACATGGACAAACATGATGTTAGAATATCCGGTAGAACACTCTGCAAATAACCACAACAGAAGTAGCAGCAGAAGCTGACAGACACAAGACTCACGTGGCAGATAACCATGCCCCCCTAAAATGTTGCATACAGTAAGCAACAATACTAAACTAGAGCCATTGACACTTTTCTCCCCCTTTTTAGACAAAAATTGACAAAGTCAGAGTGAAAAAATTGAAACAAAAAGAACCAAATAGACACAAAACTGAGGCAGGACAAACTTCAACAAAACTGACTTAACTAAAGCACCAACATAAAGAAAATAGACTTACCCAAAGAGACAAAACCTAATACTCACCCAAAAGAGAGAAAAACAAAGACCCAAAGAGACACAAAAACTAAGGAAACAAAGAAAATGAAAAGAAAAAAAACACATAAAGAAAAGAAGACTCAACTGGAAACAAACAAACAGACTCAAACAAATAACTCTTTTTTTATATCCCCTCCTTTTTATAACAAGATAGCCGAAATCAGCTATCCAATTCTTCCTCCCGAGTCAATGAAATTGACCCAATCTTCATCAGCATCTGAATCTGAATCATGTATTTGCACATGGTTTTTCTTGAGGGACTTCATCTTGGTTACTGTTTTTTTTCCTGTCCTGGATGCTCTAGTAGATGTTCCAACATTTGTTAAAATATTGGATACAACCTTCTCTGGACCAGAACACATTCCCTTATTGGTTTCCAACAACTCGATCTTCTCTATATCATCCATTTTGGATGATTTGCTCATGCTGAAACGCAGCTTGTAAGGATGGTGAGGTAGTAAAGTATTTAAATACAAGGAGAGTTACCTTATGTCATACCCCAAAATTTTTTCCCTTAGTGCTATCTTCAAATTTATTTTCGAACTTGGGTTTTAAAATTCCTTTCAGTTAATTACATTAACATTTTGGGGTTTTATAAATATCCGTTCTCAAGTCCAGTTAAAAATATAATAATTTATTTCAAATTATTTGTATTTTTAAATAACAAATACTTGCTCGTCTTCATGTATTTTCAATTGACTCTTTATTTCGAATAAGTAACATAGCACAATTGGTAAAGAATGAAGCTTGAAAATATGAGGTCACTGGTTCGAATCTCTTAAGGTTCACTTTTTAACGTTTTTTGTATTTCTTTTTGTTACTAACTTTCTTTCCTTTTTTGGAAATCGGGCTTGGGTTTTTCATATATTTTGGATAACTTAGTCTCTAAGTTTTTTCTAACCTAATTCAGGTCTATAAATAGGACTCCTATTTGTCCTAAAAATTCATCCACAATTTTACAATCTCTCACAATTTCACTCATTCACACACCATTTTTTTTTTTTTTTGCAAATTTCTTCTTCTTTCAAAATTTTCTTTTTAATACTATTGGGGATATTTTTTTTAGCCAATGATTTCATATGAGGCCTCCCTCTAATTTTCAGTTCTAGTTTTTTAATTGGTTTGTTATTTTAACCATATGATGATGATCTGATGGTCTAGTTGTTTTCAAAAATTATTTCTTGACAAAACTAGATATTCTCTCAATTCACAATTGCACACGGATCACACACATTCAATACACACCGTCCAAACTTGTACACAGTTATGGAGAATTTATGCTTTTGGTTTTGGCTCACCTTCCTTATAAACATCATAATAGATTCATGTAAATATATGAATTATCGCTACTTTTTTTGTTTACGTTAACATTTTCCTAACTTATATGTGATTACAACTCATGATGTTTGTTATTAGTATTATCTTGGTAAATATATAGGATATCCCTAATTTAGTTCTTAGAAAAAATTAACCAATTAGTTCTTGAAATCAATTTGTGTTGCAAAACTTATATACAACATCATCACTGCCTCAATTCATATATCATTATTACTCTAATATTTGATATATTGTATCTACTGCCAACTAACAAATTACAGAGTTTATGAATTTTATCTCAAATGAGCTTTGACTTTTACTTTATCCAATCACTACCAACAAAGAGAAAAAAACAAACGATATCACAGATCAAAGAAACACGAAGAGGAGGCAGCTTGGCCACAAACCCGTCGGTCTTAATCAACAACCTGGAAAACAACATTATAACAAAACATCACAAGTTGAACAGAGCCCTTCATCGATGCAGCCAGCCCACCTTCAATCGGCCTTCGTCGATGCCACCACAAGATCCAACGAATCTGGAGTCCAACGGCGACAACTGCACATGCAACTCAGTCGGTGCAAACATTGACGAGAGCCCTCCATTTCGCACAGAACAACAACGTCACCGGAGATCCACCATCAAAACTGCCACGATCCGACCGTCTCCCCTTCAAATCCAGAGACAACCGTAATCGCCTCTACGTAATCATCATGATTCCACTTAGATCCACAAAGTCATTCTCTGTTAGCATCCTCCGGTTTGTTTTCCATTCTGCTTTTTTGTTCATGTGGTTTGATTAAGACATGTTTAACTAAATGAGTTTGTGTATGAGATTTATGGGTGTTGGTTTTGTTTGGAAAGAAATTTAAAAAGAGGGATTGTGAAGGTAGAAGAAGGAATACCGTGAGGGAGGAAGAGATAATTTGGGATCAATAATTTTTCTCTCAGTTTGATTGTTACTTATATTATTTCTATTATTATTAGTTTATTTTTAGTTTTTAGGATTAACTTTAACAAATATTGAAATGGGCCTTAGGCTATATATCGATCTAATAGTGACACCCCCTTGTTAATTTAGCACCACCTTTAATTTAGTTATTTCTTTTATTTATTTTTTATTTAATTTCTCTAAAGAAATATATATATCATTATAAAAATACAAAAACTATTTAATTTCGACATATTACCAGTAATCGAATTTCACATCCTCGAGTAATTATTTGTAGACTTAACTTTTACCAATTAGTTATTCAAAATACAAAATATATTTTATTGGATTATTTAGTTAAATCTATTTTCTAATTAATTCAAACCTTTTTCTTAAATTAAGTTAATTCAATATTTTACAAAGATATTAAAAACCACGCAGTTCACCAGTGAGCGACACGTGGCCAATATCTGGCCACGTGATGAGGAAAACTTTATCAGATTCCCTTTGTATCCTCTATGACGAGCAACGCATGGCCAATATCTGACCAGGTGATGAGGAGACTATATCAGACTCCCTCTCTCTATACCCTACCATATGCGTCATCAATTCAAAATTCAAAATAACTAACCAACGATCAAACCATTTTTTTACTAACTTAATCAAAACCCTAAGATATTTTCAAAAAAGGATTAAGGAGAATTATTTTCAAATTAACTGTGAACTACGTCTACGCTCACACAATTTTCAACCAAGACAAGGTTCAAGGTTAATTTGGAAGCAATTCTATGCAATCCTATAAAAAACACCAACCAAATGCGAACTACGAATTAGAACTCTAACTCCTCATAAGAGGATACGTAGGCATACGACTAAAATCGTGGCGAGCTCCCCTAATAAAAATTAAAACCTTATTTCCTAAGCCGTAATTTTAAACCTAGTATCCTTGTGAACAAGGTATATGAGGGGTGCCTAACACCTTCCCTTAGTCTAAAACCGAGTCAAAAAACCTAGAATCTTTGACTTTTTAGGGTTAACCTTTATATTCCCTTCCTTAGGATAAAAATAAAGGGTGGCGACTTTCATTTTCAAAACCAGTTACAACACCTTGATTATAACAAAACTGTACATCTCAGAAATATTAATTTCGACCAAGTCATGAATTCATTTAAGAAGAGAACGAGACTAGGGTCTGGCCCATCATAGTGAAAAGTACCCAAGATGAGGTGCAACTCAGCTAAAGGTGATGAACGACCATCATTGTCTTTGGGCAGCAACCCATATGTGCAACCAACCCGGATATCACTTGTGACCGGCTCCCATATGCTCAGAGAGAGTTAGAAACCCAGCCCGTTAATGACTATAGTGGTTTTCGATTCATTAAACCCAACGTAACATGGCTTTGAACACCTTCATTCATGGTGATGGCAGCAGTTATGCAGTTATGAAGCCCAAGAGTCACTCCTTGAATCAGGCTCTTGATGGCGCAGAAAGAAGGCTATACAAGGGGCTTCCACAAGAGATATAAGGAATACATTCATCTTGTGACAATATGCATCATTTTCCTAGCTCCCAAATCCCCCAAATAATCTACAGAAATCTACCCCTTGCATCTCTCCCTATACATATAGGAAATTTACTTGTTTATTGTTCCTATGCAAGAACATTTGGTGCCCACCATGGGGCCTCGATAAGACTATCCTAGGCCATACCTTAAATCACATTCGACATAATGTCAACTGACGAGGATCCCCCAGACATGAAGCAACTTCTGGCCATGGTAGAGGCTCTCATACAACAGAATAAAACTTGTAGGATAGTGTAACAGACTTGCAGTAAAGAAGCCAGGGGGTGAACACCCAAAGGAGGAGCTTCTGGAACCCCAATCACTTTCTCAAGCTATATAGGACGATCAATTCCCCTAGAAATTCAAATCACCGTCGTTCATTATCCTACACTATCTTATATGGGGCTATAAGTCGTTTAGAAGAATCCCAAACAAAAGACAGGAAAGTCGTTGGGGCTCTTAAGCTTCAAATAATGTCTGACACTACATGATCAGACACATACAACTCAAAGGACCTTGTGCCCGAGGGGCTTGGATACATACACATGATTATTTTAAATTGCATTGAAAGCTAAAAATCAAGCAAACAAGTAAAATAAAAATGATAATACGATTACAAATCCGTAAAGGGAAGTTCAAATGCAAACGCCCATAGGTAGAAGTCATAGCCATAACAAATAAGGGGGGAAAAACCACACTCCCTAATCAAAATTACATAATTGCATTCTTATCAGATAAATAACAGAAACACAACCAGAAAATAACATAATGTAGTCGAGTTCTCTTTCCTGTCACCATCATTGTTGTTCTTCTCACTAGAAGAATCTTCAAGATTAGAAAGAGGATAGGGATTCTTGTCCACCTTCTCAAGATCCACAAGGCGGCCATCTTGCACCTCCTTGAAGTAATCCATATCTGACAAATTAAGGTCGGGATGAAGGCACAATATTTGGTGCTTAGCTTGTTTGAAAGCCTCGTCACCGGTAGAGAGAAGATCCACTTGGGACTTCCTGGGAGCCTCTTTCAGCTTATCAGTGTTAACCTTCAGCTCGTCATTAGTAACCTTCTCTACCTTTAACCTTTCATTGAACTGGGTAAGAGAAGTTTTTATTTCATACTCCAAAGTCTCTCTCCGCTCTTTCTCCTTGGCCAAACTTTTCTCCAAGCTTGATAGCTTCTCAGACTGAGTCTTCTTAGTTTCCTTCAGCCGGGCTATCTCATCCTTGAGCTTCAACACATCCTTCTCATAATCTCCACTGGACTAAAAAAGGCCACGAGTCAGAACCTCACAACTCATAAGGTAATAACTGAGGTTATGTGTCATCTTCTGCTGGCCTATGGTCTTGACCATATTGACGTTTTCAATGGCATTGAGATGGTCATATAGGAAGTGGAGCCCATCAAAACTGTTAAACTGGAATTTGAATTCTCCATACGCATGATCATCTCCAGACTCTCACATCAAATAAGCTATTTGAAATTATGTCATGTCACATTTAAGATGGCCTATAAGATGTTGAGACATTAATATCTGACATAAACAATGAAAAAGAGAAATACAATTTATGCAGTAAGTAAACAACATACAAAATTGTTAACCCGGTATGATGAATCGACACACCTACTCTGAGGGCTACCAAGCCAGGAAGGAAACCCACTAAATAGTATCAATTCAAAGCTAAAGTCCCCATTTTATAACTTCTCACTTAATCACCATCCGTTATATACTTCTACCTAAAACTCACTTAGATATGAGACCCTTCTCACTTTCCTGACTACCACATCCATAATTCAAACGAATTGTAAAAGAAAACTTCACCAACAATACTTCATGGACACAACCTAGCCAAGACTCTTGAATAAAAATAATACTTGGAGTTTCTTACAAGCTTCCTCCAAGAAAAAAATCAACTTTATGCTTAAAATCTTATGAGTGATACATAGTTACAACTCAACTAACAATAGTCCTACTCTTCTATCAACATGATATTGGAGAGGCTCACAATTATCGATGGAATACAAACATAAAGGCTTAGTAAACATTATAATCTATTCCATACTAAAAATAGGTTTTTACCCTTTTATTTATAACAATCTTCTGGACTGGATTTGGGCTTCAATAATATAGCAATTCAGTTGATAAATTACTGCAAAATCTTCAGCATAAAGATAAGACTTCTTATCATTAGTTTCCTAATTTATATCCATAATTATAAACTAATAACACTCCTCTAAATCAGCATCAAAAATGAGATATTTGTACATGAAAATAAAGGTCGATGAGTCTAAGTACCCTTCTTCCCCTAGAATAGCTCAATCATAAAATCGAGTAACAACTTGAAGCATCAACGTTAACAAACGTGAGCTAATATCGCTGAAGTGATAACAAGGTGTGGGGGATGATTGTGATCCCTATTTTTCCACTTTATTGACTCAAAGGACAAGAGACAAACAATTCAAAGCATCAACGTACGACATGAGCTAAAAATGACCAAGGGACTTGAAAGTGTGGGGGCCGATTGTGAGCCCTATTGTCCCACTTTTATTGACTCAATTGCAAGCATAAAGTAAAAAGGGAGGGGAAATTCCTTCTTTGAGGACTTTACACAATTCCTTCATCGAGGTCTTAACAAAATGCCTTCTTTGAGGACTTTAAACAAACACACAAAGTTTCCACTTTTTGAGATCTTTTGCAAACAGAAGAAATTACACCTTTTTGAGGTCTTTTATCAACAAGAATGTAAACAAATAAGTTTTGCAATGCCTACGGGGGTAGGTCCTCAACACATGCATCTCTAGTCCTACTTCTCATGGCAAGAAAACCAAAAGATAATGCGAAATCAAAAAACAGAATTAGAAAAGGTACCAAATGAACAAAATGTACGTAGCAAAGCATAATCAAAGAAAGAAACCAGAAGATCTTTGCGTAAGCTTCACTAATCAAAGAAAATAGTCAGAAATCAAATACTCAGAATAAACGTCGAAGCATCATCGATGTGAAAATAAATCATAATCGATATTCGAATATCAACAAATAATCCTACATAAGATATAAGTCTCGACAAAACAAAAGTATATCACGATTATCATGTACCGAGACACCTTCAAAAGCTTGCACAAGTTTACAAGATGAGTTAGTAATAACAAGAAACGATAACTGAAGTTAAGCATTCACATTACAACTCAAATTTATATT